TAATAAAATATTTTCTACACGTCAGGTTTTTCTATAAAATGTGTCAGTCTATAAATAATTGTAGAAATAGTGGAACTTATTATTGATTGAATAATCCTAATACTGAAAAGTAAAAACTTTCCCCCGGCTATTTAACATTTTACTAAATGGAAGTAAGCCTTGTGCGAAGGATTTGTTTTTCTTATTACGAAAACAGGAAATATAGCGCGATTTCAATATTCGTCATGTCCTAATCACGGCGTCTCTCAAATTTCGCTTTCATTTGCAATTGCACAGATATCGAAATGAACTCGTTTGAACTTGCATGAGAAGCGTTGGCGTTTCCGTATTGTTGCAAATTCCAATCTGAACTTCCGACTAGCTCAGCAGACTCGACTCCAAAATTCGATTGTGCGATTATTTTTCCCAATGAGTAGATTTCTTCACGGGTTTCCATCCTCACGACTCGCGTTTGAGATTGCAGTATTAAACGCGTTATCCATTTAACATTCCAATCGAAGATTGTAGCATTTGTAACTGATTTATATTTTTGATCTTTGGTTTTAATAATAACATTGGAACGATAATGTCGAAGTTGCACCTCCTTCTACCATTTGCATGAAACATTGACCATAAATCTCGACACTTATTGATGTTCTATAGTTCATAGGGAAAGCATTAGATATGCATTGAGCAAGTCCGAAGCGACAGATGATTCATGCTAATCTGCATACATGACTTTACTGTGTCGTATAGTATCAATTAAACTCAAGAATGTTTCATTGCAGCCACGTCATAAAAATATCAAATCAAACATGTGCATTTCAGTTTATTTCAGTTATTAAGCGATATTCTATCGTTAAATAGAAACCCACCCACGAGAAAGCTAAATCAACAACTCGCCCATAAATGTTCATAAAGAAACAATTTTCATAAAAGATTCGGTTTAATCGTTATTTTACCCGTCGCGACATGTTGCTATTTTGGTTGAAACACGTTCTGGTCCCGGAAAATAAGCAGTCTAGCCGGCAATCTAAATACCACGTGTCGCGAACCCTGTTAACCCTTGAATTGAGACGAACAACTTCTCGTATCGTTTCGCTTTATTTCAATTCAGGACCATCCACCGGCTGTGCACCTTCATCCTGTTGCAATTGAGGACGCGGTGGTCTTAATGACAGACCGGTGGACAGAAGAAGGATCGCTCGACGATTGTCTCTTAATTAATCACGCTTTGTATCGTTGCGTGAGGTATCAATATCCATCAAGTACATTCGATTACTTGGTCATGATATTCAATTCAAAGTACTTGAACATTCTAAGCGTGGCAATCTGTGGAATTCTTTCT